CCCCCCCCCCCCCCCCCCCCCCCCCCCGCCCCAACCTCTCGGTTGTCGTTGGGAGTCAAACGCCGATTAACCCACTAGATTTGGTGCTGGAAAGTAAGTGGGCGGCGCTACCTTCGTTTAGCTACCTGGAGACCCACGAGAGACGCTTCACACGCTCTCCCGTTCCCTCACGAGCGTTCGGGCTTAAGAGTTGTTTTGCTTTTCGCGTAATTGGCGAAGTAATGCCACGAGCTGAACTCAGGCCGCCACGAGGTTTCGCGCGCTCTCCGACTACTGGTCGAGTGCGCGCGCGCCTGCTTTGGGCCAACTTTTGGGATTAGCCCGACTTCGCTCAAAAACCGCGTGAAAAGGGGCCTCGGTCTGAGTCCCAACGGCGGGTTTGCGCGAACATCCCGCTTAATCCCGGCGCGCTTCATAAACGCGCGCAGGCTTTCTAGCATCTCAGCCTGCCCGGCGCGAGGGATTAATTCGTCAGCGCGCAGCCGGCTAGTTCTTTCTTTCTCTCTCCCCCCACGCGCACCGCACACGCGCGCAACAGAGGTTAGCGCGCTTTCGCCTACATTTATTCTGCCCCTGCGTGTATGTGTGTGGGGTGGTGGTGGGGTGGAGCTCCGTTCCCGCGGTGTAGGCAGCCCCGCAAAGCGCCTCTCCTCCCCACAGCGGCTGCCGCGCACAAAGAGAGGGGGGAAAACCCGCCGCCCTCGCGCGCTTTCTTGTACGCTTCCTAAAAAGGGGGGCGCGCGTTGCACGTCCCGCCACGGAACCGCATCGGAGCCTCCGGTGGGCGCAGAGACCCGGCTTTGCTTCCAACCCAGGGTTTTTAAATGCTGCCGCTCGGGGGAACCAGGGGGATCCAGAGGAGGCGTGGTCTTCCGTAGATGCCGACGGAGGCGGCGGCTGGAGGGAGGGAGGTTCGTGGTCTTCGGGGAGGGGGGGGGATCGGGGCGGGATTAAGCGGTGTCAAGACTCCTCTCGAGTTCTGCATGGACACGCTTCCGCGGTCCGGCGAGGCTCCGCGACTCATCCTGCGCTGATTGGAGTCCTGCGTGAAGGCGAGGAGCTCAGATGCCGCTGCTTTGCCTTCCCTGGAAAGATGCAGGCTTGAGCTTTTTTTCCGAAGCGGTGGAGCGAATGGAAGGTTTTTCTGTCTAAACGCTGAAGGGGACGACAAAAAAAAGAAGAAGAAGAAAAGCTTCGCGAAAGAGGAGGAAGAAGAGGGAAAAGCGACTGTAAACGCATTCTCTGCCCTTTTCATTTTGTGCTTTTGGCAAGTTCCGCGCTCGGGTCTGCCTCGTCGGTTGTTGCTGCAACAACCAGCCCCTAATTCACTTTTGTTGGAGGAGCACGCCTCGAGTCGGGAGGCCCCGTTGAACTGCGCCGGGGAGTCTTCGGCTCCTGCATTCCTAGCCTCTCAAGGAGGCGGAAGTTTTTTTCCCCTTCTTCTTCTTCCCCAATTTGAAGAGGAAAGCTTCGCGAGAGAATCATGCAAGTCTCCATAGCGTGCACGGAGCATAACCTCAAGAACCGGAATGGGGAAGACAGGATGATCAGCAAACAGAACTCCTCCGGTCCAAATGCGGTCAATGCGGCCAGAGCAAAATTCCGGACAGTGGCGATTATCGCTCGCAGTTTGGGAACCTTTACCCCCCAACATCACATTTCCTTAAAAGAATCCACTGCAAAACTGACAGGGATGAAATACAGGTATGGCAGTCTTTTGGGTCAAAACTCGGGGTATTTCTTTCCCCCTTTCACCATCCGCTGCTCCTCAAAGATTGTTACTGACATACAAAGTTATGGACATATAAAGTTCCCTCCACCCACCCACCCCCCCCAAAAAAAAACAAGAAACAAACCCTAGAATCCTTTTTTATTTTGTTTTTTAGAAATGAAATCACCTCCCAAAAAGTTTAAATATTTAGAAATCTAGAGCATTGGAGCAAATTTGTGGTAATATTGGTTTTGGCGCTGGCTGCCTCCCATTAACTGGGGTTTTGGTCTTTGCAGCCCCAGATAACTTTTGATGATTTTTTGTAATTTCACTGAGTAAATATTCTAGTGAAGAGAGATTTGATGGCTTTCCATTTGTAATTAGGGAATTTGGATTACTGCCTCACTCTTGACGATTTACTCAAGAGAAAGTTTGCTTCTCAAGGCACCTGCTGGGCTGTTCAGAAAAGCAATATCTGTTAAACTCAGTGGGAAGCTCTTTTTGCGTATTTATTTATTAACTTTATATGCCACTCATTTCCCTTTTGTATTCTAATTACTGCTGAGCGGCTCATTATGAGCTTCCCATCTGCAACAGAGAAAGATTTATTTTGAATAAAATGTGAAGTAAATTGCCTAATACAGTAAAGTAATAAGTGTTTAACTGAAGAAGTGTTATTTTTCCACAAAAGGGAGCCAAAAAGAAGGCAGTGGAAGATGGTTGCTGATTGAATTCTGAGATTCACTGTATTTCATCCTGATTTTAAGGCAGGATTTTGTTTTAACTTGATAAAATGAATAGCTGTATTTAATGGTGAAGTCAGAATGACTTCTCCAAGAAGTCATTTATTTGGCATTTGAATGGTTAGTTCTTGAATGCAAGAGGACACAAGCACTTATTCCCACACCTATCATAAGCAGAGTTGTTGCTTAGTCATCAGATCACCTGCTGAATTTACTGCAGTAACATTGCGAATGGTATTGAAGGTAAGCTCTAGACATGAGTTTTAAAACCACTGAGTAAAGAAAGTCGGTGTTCGTTATGCAGGCTTGTCCAGAAGTAGATTCTCTGTACATTCTCTGCCTTACAGGCAGGAGAATATGCAAAGTATTGCACCTCTAGGCTTAGTTAATAAAACTGTTCTTATAATTTAATGCACGCGTTTCCAATGAAAAGCACAATTTACAGTGGAAGAAGTTAAGGTGCTGGATTAGAGCAGGAAAGGCTCTGGTTCAAATCCACCTTCAGCTGTGGAAATGTCCCTAGCAGACTTTCATGCAGTCACACTCTTTCATTCCATCCTACATGATCAGGCTGTTATGGGGCAAAGCAGGAAGTAAATCTAAGTAAATCTAAGTTAAACCAAGTTTATAAGTTAACTTGTTAACTAAATTAATAAGTTAAACCAAACCATCAAGACAATCAAACCAAGTCATCAAGAGTTATTATTTTTAGATGGGATGTAAGAGGTAATGAATTTTGCTGGCACTATATATAAAGGGTCTTTCATCTTTTCCAGATCATTTTAGTTAGGCTTGCCTATGTATTTTATGTTTATGTTTTATGGAGAGATAGGATGCTATGTAGGATAGAAAGCAGCAAAAAGATATCCCATCTGTCTCCAATTTGTTAGGCTATATCCAACCTGCATTATTTTTATAAGCAACACAAAGTGGTGAATATATTCACCACACTTTTCCCCTCCTATTTTCCCCACAACTACAACCCTGTGGGGTGAGGTGGCATGAAAGAGAGTGACAGGTCATCCATCTGATGAAATTTCATGGGACTAGAGCTTAGGGTCTCTTAGTTTCTAAACTGGTGCCTTAATGGCTAGACCAAACTGAATCATCAATGGACCATCTGCGAGAAGAGAGATCTTTTCGTTTCTCTCTAACTCCAAATATTCTCAGTTGTAAAGTTCATGTAGTCTATCATGCAGAAGGTATAATATATTCCTTGCCATCTTCACGTAGACCTTGAAAAATGTCAAGTTAAAATCTCAGAAAAGGATTGAAAGCCAGTTTTGATAGTGTTGAAATAAGTGAGTCAGTGGTCTGATTCATTGGGCAAGTTCTTAAGAGTTCTACAATTCATCTGCTGATGGCTCTCCATTTACATCCTTGACCTGGACCCAACTCCTTGTTCTTTGTACCATTCATCTTGAAATAGTATATTTGTTTAAGAGCGGGAATATCACTACCTCTAGACTTGTGAAAGTTAGGTTCTAACTTTCTTCTCCTTTAAGAGACAGTCCATCTTCCAAAGATACCTTGCAGCTATTTACAGAGTGTTCTGATAACTATCTATCATTTTCTTATAAGTTGTACTACACTATGGTTTTGGAAACATGGTAAAAAGTTTTTAAATAAATCTCAAGTGAGTTAATGCTGGTTACATAATATTACACAATAATATCTTCCTTTCACACTTTGAATTTCCTGGCATGTACTATGAAACATTTTCAGTTCTTATTAATTTTTAACCTTCACCTTTTAAATTGGTTTGCTTATACCCTAACTAACAAGAATGATCATGTTATAAATCTCAGTGTTCAGGATTCTTTAGCCTTAGAAATGTAGGAAGGATGTCTAGGTACCACTCGCAAGCTGCTCCTCCATTGAAGCTAAAAATAAAGGCATAAAATAAATTTATTTATTTATTAGACTTATATACCGCTTCATAGGGCTTTCACCCTCTCTAAGNTACAGAAGAGGTTCTAAATTTTTTTGAAACCCACCACTGCATATATGGCAAAATTTTGCTCGCTGCCATTGTCCTTATCTCCCCTAGGATCCCACTGAAGACTATTCTGGAAGTTGAAGTCAATACATCTTCCAGTTGTCAAGGTTGACAACCACTGGCTTAAAGTACCATGTCGGCTAACCATCGCTGGAGAATCAGGTTTTGCTTTTTTCCATCTCCAAACATGGAGCCATGGAACAATACATATTTGTTTGGGCACTTAAATTTCATAGTTTCTTACTCCCGCACCTTGTTTCTTTCTCTCGCTTTACTTTCCTTACATCACATCAGTTTCAGGTATCTCTTGCTCGTCTACATTTTCCCATGCCCTTGATTCTGATACTCTATGGATAAATATTATCAAAGAAGATCAGCATGAGAGAAATGCAACTCCCTTCTATACCAGCTTGGAAATGGATACCTGTTGTGTAGGGCACATTCAACACAGCTGCACAGGGTAGAAGCTAGAAAGAGAACCAGGTAGAAATTTACTGATTTAAACTTGTCAGTGACTTCGTTTAGCAAACACCCATCAACATCACCCACCCTGCCCCATTTCAACCTGATTTCATGTGATACGTAAAGTTATACTTTTAAATATTACATACATTATTGTAAGCATTAAGTATTTTTTAATTTGAATAATGCCACCGAGTACAGTCAGTATGGTCTAATGGTTCAGATACTAGCCAAGAAAATAAGAGACTGTATCTTCTAGGTCTCCCTTAGGTATGAAAGTTAGTTATCCTCCAAAAGTTGAGGTGTTTATCTTGACACATTTGTCAAGTAAAATGAACTTTTTCTTCTCCATAATAGTCAGGGAAACGTGTGCTTGATGTAGCAATAGTGTTAATTTTACTTAAATTATAAGTAAATATATGCAATGCAAATATATAATTTCATGAAAAATCTCAAAATGTGAGACGTTCTTATGGTACTTCTATACAAATGTGGTAACTATTATTCACAGGCTTTGACCAAATTGAATGATCATTACATATTCTAATAGTGGGCTGATGTTGATTAAAAGGAATGGTTTTCAGTCTTCTCCAAATATTACGGATCTTGTATGCAGTATTCTGAATAAGCATTTGAAAGGAGGATTGAAATGACTACCTTTGTTAGCCATACATCCTCCTTCCCCGAGTCAGTTCATGCAAACACTAAAATATATGCCTCATATATTAGACAGTAGTCCTGGAAATAACATAGAAAAACACTATTTGTTCCAGTCTGCAATCAAAGGGGAATGTGATCTTTTCAAATCATTTGACAGAGTTGAGAAACAGCATTATTCACAGTTGGATCTCAGTCTCTCTCCTGAGGCTGCGTGGGTATGCTTTTACTCAGGTGAAACCAATGAATATTCCAGTCCGTGGGGATGGGAAGAATTTCAAAAACTTAAATATCATAGAAAGGTTAGAAAGGATAGATGAGATCATCTTTTAAAAAGGACATTTGAACAATTCTTAGCGATTCAGTATGCTTTTTATTAATGTATTCATCCCATCTTTGTAGTTATTTGTAGTTATTCTCAGTGCCCATTGCTAAAGCAGCTGTTACCATGGTAAGAATTACCACTGTTCTAAAAGCAGCTGTTCTATATGAACATTAAGCAGCTTCTGGAGTTAAAAAACCATTTTTTTAATGTATCTTTATTCAAGGTCCTTGGGTCTAGTTCTGTGATGGTGAACCTATAGCACTCATGCCGGAAGTGGCATGCAGAGCCATTGCCTGTTGCTCTCGCAGGTTTTGGCGTGCTGGCCAGCTGGTCTTCATGCACATGGGAGTGCCGGAAACCAAAAGAGGTACTGGCCAGTGTACATGCACATGCTAGAAACCAGAAGATCATCTTCCCAGTGTGTACATGTGTACCAGCCAGCTGGTCTTTGTGCATGCATGTGTGTCAGAAATTAGAAGACCTTGTGGTTGGAGCGCATGTGCACCCCGGAAACCAGAAAATCATCTTCCCGGTGTGTGCATGCACACCGGGCAGTTACTCTTCTGGCTCCTGTTCCAGCACTTAGTGCCAAAAAGGTTCACCAATACTGGCCTAGTTCATACCTGCTAAAAATGCAATGAAAGCCAGCAGGGCACAATAGCAATAGCACTTAGAATTATACACTTCACAGTGCTTTACAGCACTCTCTAAGCAGTTTACAGACCATATTGCCCCCACCAATCTGGGTCCTCATTTTACCCACCTCNCCTGGTTTTCTGTGAGCCGCCCTGAGTCCCCTCAGGGAAA